CTCATCCAGTAATATGCATATGATAGGTGTTTAACAAAGACAATCTTAACTTTTCTTCTCATTTTCCTTCAGAACTCATAAGACTATAAATCCACAATCATTGTTTTAAAATAAGAAACATATGTGTGTATTATTAATATAATAATAATAATGTAGTTTGTAATATACATATATATTTAATAATGTAATATACTATTTATTAAATAGATCATTATGCAGTATTGAATAATGTAGTTTTATATTATATAATATATAGATGTATAATATATAATTTGTATGATATTATCTCTCTCTCTCTCTCTCACACACACATATATGTTAGTATATATTTCATTACTTATTTAATATACTATTTTATGTATTTAAAACATCAATTATGTACTATTATTTAATAATATATTTTATTCATTTAATATAATTTGTGTCAACCGGTGCCGATAACCGATTAATCAACCGATAGTTTTTAAAATTGATAATGAACAAAAACTAAAATAGTTTGAATAAAAAATCTGAACCATGAAAATGAACCACACTTTTTGAATGGAATAAAAATATGAGTATTATTATTAATTATGTTAGTTCATAGTGCATTCATGTTAACTTTAAAACTTGAAAATGTACTATTAAGAGTTGAAATTAACACACTTTAAAAGTGAACAATACTTCTACAGCATATATTAACCTTATGTTACAAATGGACTCTTCATATAAAGCGTTACTATTTCATATCAACAGTCATGCTTATTCATGCTAACACTTGATGATTATCTAATCAAATTATAATATGGTTCAGCCCATCATGTTTTGCTGGGTTATAGGGCCATAAACTGGAGTAAACCCTTGATTTCTACTGTATGGATAAAAGTTTCTAGAATTTCTCAAATTATCTTCTTTTACGTTCCACAGAAGAAAGAAATTCCTACAGGTTTGGAATGACATGATGTTGAGTAAATGATGACAATGCTCATTTTTGGGTGAACTGTCCCTTTAAGAACTTTAACATTTGTAAATAGTAAACACCTAATTTACACAAGACACTGATATTTATCTTTAACCGGGCTCTTATTGAATTAACTGCTTACTTGAATTCAAATTAATTAGACTTAACATTTAAAGAGAAAGATGCTGTTGAATCTATTCTGTTATTTATTAAAAAAAATAGTAAATTATACTTTGCCCTATAATGAAATTTAATATAGTTCTCACAGAATCCTGAGTTTAACTAGTATTAGTTTGAGATAGTGGTCACAACAAGTAAAACCATGGTCCTCATTACCACGGTTATATGGTTTTTAAAATAAATAATAAGTAATAATAAACTATAGACTTTGTAATAAAAAATAAAAATAAAAAAAAATAAACGTAGAAACAATAAAAATTTGTGCCAAAACACCATAGGCTATTTGTACAGTGTTAATAACTGCAAGATTGGTGCCGATTAATCAATCGACCTCTATGATAATATGTATGTATTATGATTTAATAGTATATTTTATTAATTTAATATGTAAATATATGCATTATGTAGAGGAATAATTTGTGTATGTATTCATGTATATGTGCTTATATCTACAGTGCAGATATCATTGTACACATGTGTAAATGTACTGTTTGACTTGTTACAGATCAAGTTGAAGATATGCCAGTTTTTAGTCAAATTTGCTTCTTGAGGAGGGTTAAATTTGACCCTGCACTGTAAAAAAAATTCTGTAAAATTTACGGTAAAAAACCGGCAGCTGTGGTTGCCGGAATTTTACAGTAAAAAATACGGTAGCGACGTTTTAGGTTTTACAGTTTTAACTTAAATTTACAGTTAAATACCGTAATTCCATTAACTGATATAATGTTAATATACCAACCTATTGAAGTACTGAAATCTGTTTTGTACCTCTGTAATACACTGATAACCACCAAATGCAGGTGGTGATGAGAAAGTCACATGATGAACCAAAGCCCACCACAAGCAGCTTTTAGATAATAACATATATAGAAGGTGCACAGTGTCATTCACACAAACACCAAACACCATCATGATAACACACATGAAACTGAAATAATGCAATAAACATTAATTTAACAACATTAGGTGTAACACACAACCCTAATATACAAAACTGATAAGAAAAAACTAAGAAACATAGTTATTTCAACAAAAAAAAACATAAAATTTGAAATGTAACGCAGGGGATTCTGGGAATGTCAATTTACAGTTATTCACTGTAAATTATACGGTCTTTTTCACTTCCAAAAACGGTATACTACCGTAAAATTACATGTAATGTCCAATACCGTTTTTCACCGTATATAGTAGGGGAATTTACCGTTTAACCATTTAACAGGTTTTTACTGTAGCATTTTTACAGTCTTTTACTGTTAAATTCACAGTCATTTTTTACAGTGTGGATGCAAGTAAGAGTTCATGATCTTATTGAATAGCCTTCATGAGTTCGCAGTTTCTGCTTCAGCTTCTCAGATGAGAGTCTCCACATGTGTTTGATCTGAGACACCGACTCGCAGTCTGTAATTCTCCGTCCGTTTATTAATCGCTCTGGTGTTTAGGGAGGCTTGAACGCTCTTTCTTTACCACTGAGAAAATATTTACTCCGTATCAAGAGGCTGCTGAAGGTTTCTGCTTCTCATTACAGGAGAGCCGGACTGCATCTGCGCGCCTGCTTTTTATTCTCCTGGCAGCAACCTGAAAGGAACGCAAGACCCAACAGTGTTTTTTTATTTCTTGCCTTTCCCCAGAGATCCAGAGGAAGAAAAAGGGAGAGATAATGAGAAATTGTCAGCGGTTGAGGGGAAAAGAGCTGCCTCATGTTTGGCTGCCATGCAGTGAAATATAGGAAACTCGGGGCTGGTCTGTCGCTCGCTCTCTCTGTCTCCTTCAGTGTAAATAATGAGAGCCGATTCAGTGTGGCTCGCTTGAGGGGAAGTTTGTCTCGCTCTCAGCTCTATAAGAGCAGAAGCAGCTGCACCATGCTTCTGTCATTATATATATATACACATTCAACACCCTTAAAGGAATAGCTCACCCAGAAATGATAATATCCTCACTCTCAGTTCATCCGAGATGCGGATGAGTTTGTTTCTTCATCAGGTTTGTAGAAATGTAGCACTGCATCAGTGTCTCAGCAATGGATGCTCTGCAGTGAATGGGTGCCGTCAGAATGAGAGTCCAAACAGCTGATAAAAACATCACAATAATCCACAAGTAATCCACAGCACTCCAGTCCATCAGTTAACATCTGGAGAAGACAAAAGCTGAAACAAATCCAGCATTAAGACGTGTTTAACTAAATACATTGAGTCCATAATCCATAATAACGCTTCCTCCAGTGAAAAAGTGAAAAAGTAAATTCTCCAGATGTTAACTGATGGACTGGAGTGCTGTGGATTACTTGTGGATTATTGTGATGTTTTTATCAGCTCTCATTCTGACGGCACCCATTCACTGCAGAGCAAGTGATGCAATGCTACATTTCTCCAAATCTCGGATGGCCTGAGGGTGAGAACATTTTCATTTCTGGGGGAACTATTCCTTAAAAAGGAACAGTGAAACCATAAATCTGTCGCTATTTTCTCACTATCATGCCATTCCAAACATACTCTGTTTTTTTTTCTTTCGCCAGTGAAAGACCTATGGAGATTTTGTTTCTCTTTATTCTTCAGAAAGGACAAAAAATACTTCATAAAGTTAGTGAGCCATATTTCAAGTCTTCTAGAGTTTAGGATGCTTTGGTGAAAAACAGATTGAAGTCAAAGCTCTCAAACCTCATACACATTGATTCAGTGATTTCTTGACATCACTGATGCCATCATTTATTTACATCGTAACTGCATGCTATGCACCAAATTTGAATATAATCATCCGTGTTTTGTCCTTTTTGGGACAGACGTTATCACCATGTACTGTTTTTGCACGGAAAAGAGCTGTGTGAAGATGGATTCAAATATCTTTCATGTTTCACAGAAAAGAAAAAAAAATCATGTTATTGTAAGGACATGAGGGTGAATAAATGATGACAGAATTTACATTTTTATTTGAACTTGAAGCTGTGAGCGACAAGAAAAAAACATATAAGCATATTTAAGAACTATTCATGCCTGCATGATATTTCCCCCCCAAACCCTCACTTTTTCAAGTGTTAACTGTGTACTGGATGTAATGAGATTGAGACTTCAGTCAGTGTTATGAGAGATCTTTATTTCCAGATTGACTCGTCCTGCTCAACTCCTTTTGTCATCTGAACAGTTGCCAGGGGATAAAGAAGATCACTTATGCACATGGAAAAAAAGGTAAAACATTTCATTGCAATTTCAAGACGAGATGTGCTGCTCTTTTATGTCTCTGATGACCAAAGCTTGCCATTCAGACAGTAACCTAGTAACAGAACGAGAGCATTCAAAATAACTGATTATTTGTTTTTCTTTCTTTTACAGGAAAACACAGTGCATTTAAGGTCTATCATCTGAGAAAAGATCATCTTGAAGGTTGAATAACATTTGCATGAGGGACAAAGCCCAACAAGAGTTTACTGGGGTGCTTATGTTATGTAAATGATTCCATAACATAATGAGTGGTTATGATTGTAAATCATAAAAAGACAAACGATAGGTTCTCTAAATCAATAGATGTAGACTTTTGTTAGTATAAACCATCTAACTTTATACAGTGTGAGGCTCCACATCGCCACGCCTCTTTAGGATAAATAATCATATCATGTGGAATTTTGTGCCAATCTAAAGTTTATTCGCAGGGAGGGATAGTTTTAAATCATACTATGGCGAAGGAGTGGCTTATGAATATTAATGAGGGCGTGCTGACGTTGCTTAGAAACCTTTCTTGAGCGTCCTGCCTAATTATTATTCATGATTCAGCCATTCGCCATAGCTCCCGTCCTCTAGCGTCCTATTGGGAAGCGTCACGGTGCCTCATTAATATTCATAAGACAGGCTTTTAGCGTATTATAGAGGAGGACCCGCGTCGCTAGAAGTTAAGTTACTTCATCCAGCAATTGCAACCTGTTGAGGCAGAAGTTTTCTTCACTCTTGAATGATAAGGATAAAGAGGAGCGCTTGCATTGAGGATGTAAATCTACATCTAAACCCGCGTATAATGCAGAACCGGCTTTGGATCGGGAATGTTGCGCTTTTGTTTTTACGCACGGCGCATGGAGATCTTTCAGGTGCTTCACTGATCATTAGGCACCGCCAGGCGTCTGTGTTCGATCTACCCTGAGATGATCGATAATTTGATGCCAGACTGGCTGGAAGTAACGTGACGGTTCAGATCGCGATGAAAGCGCTGCTCGTGCTGTGCGCGGCGCTCGCGGGCGCATGGAGCAGCAGAGACTGTCCCGCGCTGATGATTGACAGCTGTCACTGCGCCGCGGAGAGATCAAAGGAGTTTAACAGGCAGAGCGTGCGCGTGAAGGTTGTGTGTGATGATGCGGACCTGACGGAAACCATGCAACCCGGCTCTTTACCCAACACGACGGTGTCACTGTGAGTAACTCCTAACATGAAGACTGTGGTCATTGTTAAATGCGTGGTTATTGTTAACATTTAAGACCCAGAGAAGTTATCAAAATTGTTAATCATTCAAATCTTCCTAGAAAAGTCATTGCAATCATTAAAAGTTTATTTTAGTATATTAAATCGAGTAGAAATTGCTTGATGTAAGTAATGCAGTAATCATGACTGCATGAAAAAAAAAATATTATCATTTCTTATTGCCTTTATTATAATACATTTTATTTTTTTTAGAAGTGTATACTATATGTCTTTATGTAACAAGTGTGAGCACTGGCCTCTCTTGCTGTCAGCCATTGATTTAATTGAAATCGATCTGGTTGATGATATTTTATTGTCAGAAGTTTCATAAGCAATCATGCATTGATGCATTGTTTTTTGCACCGTCATGTTATTTTGCTCATCAGTATTCAGAGCACAAATCAGAGAAGTATCGCTTGAGATACTGCAGATTTATTTGTACATTTACATTTATAAGCTTTTATCCGTATTGAAGTGATTAATCCAAGGAATAAAGTCATGCAAGAAACACTACAGTACTGGAATAGTGCAGTAGTCTTAGAGAGAGGCTAATAAGTAAGGTCTGATGTTAGAGAAACACTTATATCAGCTTGTTTCCACTGAAGGATAAATATACTAGTGTGCAAAAGTTTGGGATCAGTAAGATTTTAATGTGTTTTAAAGAAGACTCTTCTACTCATCAAGGCTGCATTTATTTGATCAAAAATACAGTAAAAACAGTAAAATTGTGAAATATTATTACAATTTAAATTAACCGTGTTCTATGTGAATATCTGTTAAACTGTAATGTATTTCTGTGATGCGCAGCTGTATTTTCAGAATCATTACTGCAGTCTTCAGTGTCACATGATCTTCAGAAATCATTCTAATATACTGATTTGCTGCTCAAGAAACATTTCTGATTATTATCAATGTTGACTATCATTTTTTAAAATCAATTTAACACATCCTTGCTGAATAAAAGTATTAATTTCTTTCAAAAAAAAAAAAAAATGAAAAGAAAAAAAAATTGATATAATGCAGTATTTTACAATATTAACGTTTTTCTGTATTTTTGATCAAATAAATGAAGCTTTGATGAGCAGAAGAAACTTCTTTAAAAAATCATACTGATCCTAAACTTCTGAACGTGTGTATATAAGTGTATATAGCCAGTGTATATAAGTATATAAGCCACAGTGTATATAAAAGGTATTTGCAATTTTTTATCTCTGCATGCATTGACTTTTATTCTCACAATTCAAAGTTTATATCTCACAATTGAGACATTTTTTTTCTTAGAATAGCGAGATATGAACACAGAATTGCAAATATAAACTCCAGAAAGTACAGATTGTGAGACAGCAAAAAAAAAAAAACTAAAGATAAAAAGTTGCAATTACCTTTTTTATTTTTTATTCCTTTTTTTTTCTTCTCAGATTTGCTATGAAAAAAAATTCTGAATATGAGATAAAAAGAACAGATCTGATGTGGATGTTAAAGGTTCTTCATCGATGGCAATAAATAACTTTTATTTGCATGATCTTGATAAGAAGAAGCAATACAGTATCTGTTTCTGAGATATTGAGCTCATCACTGAGAAGAATGATGAGCGTGATTGTGATTTATGAGGAATCTAGTTCTCCGTCTGTGAAAACTCCTAATGCATTTTTAATTCTGCAAACTGTGTTCCTCTGGTGTACCTGCGTTTGCAGCAAGGGCTTGTATTACGCATTACTTTAACACACGTGAGTCTTGTTTTAATGAACTCTAATGGTTTTACTGATTGGGAAGCTGCCTGCTGTAATGAGGAATGAAGTGCTGTGTGTCTGTAAATAATGAAACATGTTGCTGGAGGGAAGTTTTCAGTGCTTTTCTGCTTTTTACAGCTCTTGTAGAGTTTCTTCAGAAGCTTGTCGTTTAGTTCTCCAATGCACTTCACTGCATTTCTTTCTCAGGATCGTTTCGATTTTCTCCTACAAGCTTGTGCTTAAATGCTTGAAATGAGTTGTAGCAGATAGTGAGGGACTAGTGAAGGTATGCTTTCTTCTCTCCTCTAGCTTGTTTCCTAATCTAGTTGACAATCCTGGCATTGTGTAGTATGACTATTGCTGACTCTTTGACCAGTTGCTTTGTTCCTCTTCTGGATAAAAGTGTCTGCTAAATGCATAAATGCAAATGTAATGAAAAGCCTGTCAAGTGCTTCTCACACTTTTCACTAGTGTTTAAAAGCATCCCATAATGCACCTCACGAGTCTTCAGAGCAAGAAGAGCTGGAATCTAGACAAAGAAGAAGCTCAAATATTAGAGAATTCAGTTTTGAGCACTGCATTATTCATCACTGCACTGTAATTCTACTCATAATAGAGTGCAGCAGGGATGATGTATTTTTTGTAGGCCAAAACCTGGAAATGAGTTGTATTTTAGCATTTCTGATCGCATTGTCCTGAAGTCAATGGTTGTTTGTTTGTTTTTTTTAATGTTTTTTTTTTTGTTGTTAAATAGGGCCCTATGAAATACGTTTTTTTTTTCTTTTAAATTTTTTTTTTCCAAATTCTTTTCCTTTAAATTTTCTGTACTCTATTTTAATTGTTAAATTAAATTTTAGCAACCAAAAAGCATGTCTAATTAATTGAAATCATGAAAATTTGTGCAATTTAATTAAAATTCTGCAATTTAATTACATTTTTATTTATTAATTTATTAATAAATAAAATAAAATAACATGATTAAATAATTCTACTCGCATTTATGCATTTAGCAGATGTATTTATCCAAAGCGTCTTACTATAATACAATGTGCAAAAGCAGTTATATTTGACATAAAAGCATATAATGAAATGTTTTGGCTATTGAACTCATGAAAAAGTCGAGAATAACCCAAGTCAAGGTTACCTCGAAGCAGGTGTGGAGATGCCCTGTTAATCTTGTTAAGGAAAAAGACAGACTTTCAGCTTTGGTATCTCACTGGGGCAAAGATAAGGCCAGGCAATCTGTTTTGGGTTTTAAAAAAGCCTTTACTATTTCATTAACTTGGAACATTCAGTATCCATTTTCATGAGAACTTCCAAAGACTGGGAAACCTAAAAAATATGCATCCCATGACAAAGCATCAGTTGACTAAGCAGCAAATTAGGTACAATTAGGTACAATTACCTTACTAATTGATAGTTAGTAAGGTAGCTGTTAAGTCAAGTCAAGTCACCTTTATTTATATAGCGGTTTTAACAATACAGATTGTGTCAAAGCAACTGTACAGCATTAATTAGGAAATTAGTGTGTCAATAATGCAGAAGGACAATAGTAAACACTCAATTTTTTAGTTAAAGGCAGTTCATCATTGAATTCAGGGATGTCATCATCCAGCTCAGTTCAGTATCTGTGCAATCAAGTCGGCGATATCGCTGGAAATGAAGTGTCCCCAACTAAGCAAGCCAGAGGCGACAGCGGCAAGGAACCAAAACTCCATCGGTGACAGAATGGAGAAAAAACCTTGGGAGAAACCAGGCTCAGTCGGGGGGCCAGTTCTCCTCTGGCCAGACGAACCAGCAGTTCAGGAGGACTCAACTGGTTCATGTGGTTTTGTCCCAGTGACCATCTAGGCCGTCTAAGTTTAGGTATGGGGTTGATTAAGGGATCTAAAATATGGTTGTGCAGAATAAAGCATTATTATGTGCTTTATAAGTGCTAATAAACAGCCAATATGCTATTTATATGCATGCTAATAAGCAAAATTGGTAACTTAATATTTTTTGTGAGGCTTAAAGTAAAAAATGTGAAAATATCTGACAATTGCAATTAAAAAAATAGATTAAATTATTATTAATATTATCATTATCATTATTATTTGTAACCTATGATACATTTTTGTCAAATGGTATGAAAAAAACACTAAATAAAAATTACATTTTTTTTAAATTATCAAACTTTAATTAAAATTTAAGTGAAATCAGAAAATGAAAATAAAATTGTATTCAAAATATTCAAATACTGTAATAGTATATCAATGATACTAAAATAACACTGGTAAATGTAATATTATTCATGATCCAGAAATAATAATAACAAATCCTTACATTTAGGAATGTTTAGATATTTGTACTGGAAAACAAGACAAAAATAGTTAATAAGAGCATCGGTTTTGCAGTGTATATGTCTTTACTGTCACTTTTTATTAATTTAATGCATCCTTGCTGAATAAAAATATTAATTTCTTTCTTTCAATAAAAAATAAAATAAATAAATAAATTCTTACTGACCTCATTTTTTATTACTATTTCAATCGGCAGCAGTTCCCTGCGGTCATTGTGCAAAATAAAATATATTCAAATTTCAAGACCTTTGAACATTGCTTTTCTAGTTAAAAATGAATATTTGTAACGCAATTTTGGAACGACATGAGTGAACTGCTCCTTTAAACCCTTTCAAAATGCATCGCGTTGTTCTTTTATTATCTTGAAGAGGCTGTTGTTGATTGTTTTATCGCAGCGTTTGTGTTCCGTCACGTAGAAGTTTTGCTGGTCATGCCTCAGATGGAGCAGCAAATGAATTGCAGAAAGCACAAGAATGTGTCTGAGCGCGTTTGGAGTGTCGACTGCCTAAAAATGCGAAGAAAGGAAAACAGTGAGTCTGCCAAGAATACATCAGCGGTACGTCGTCTCTGGGTTATTTAAACGCTGGGTTATTTAAAGTGTCCCTCCGCTAGCGTTCCAGCTTTCCTAAATATCATCAAACAGCTTCTGTCTGCGCGTCTGATCTCTTGAATGTGTGTTAACTCCATATGACCCGCGTGAAGGCCCCTGAAGGGCCGTGGAGCTGAGAGCGTGCTGAGAGGTTTGACTGTGGATGATTATGTTCATCTGTGAAAGGAACAGTGAAGGATTTGCTCAGAATGAAGCCGCGCCGTTTATTTGCACGCATTGTTGCATCGGTGTTGTGTTAGCACCCGATTCACTAATAGAATTATGCAATTAAACACTAAAGTGAGCGACACCACACAGGAAGTGGAATTAGAATTTGAATTGACAGAATGAGCAATTTAATTAAATAGCAATAGGTAAGGATTTCAAAACATTTAATGCATTCTGGGAAATGAAGTGAAAATAAAATAAGTCATATCAGATCAGAATCAGAATGAGCTTTATTGCCAGGTATGTTTACACATACGAGGAATTTGTTTTCGTGACAGAAGCTTCCACAGTGTAACAGAATGACAGTGACAGAACAAAAAACACAGATAATAAAAAATAGAACAAGTAAATAAGGAATAAAAATATAAATTTTTGCAAATTTGAGGTGTAGACTGAGTATGAGTGTTAGATAAATAAGTGTATGAGTGTATAAATAGTGTGTGTTCCACGGTTATTGTCAAGTGTTCATGAGATGGATGGCCTGAGGGAAGAAACTGTTCCTGTGTCTACTCGTTC